AACACCTCGTTCTCTGCAGCAAGAGGCCCCTTTGCCGCATTTTACACTCGGCAGCCAAGAGCCAGCCCCGGGACTTCTGTTTTTGCAGGTTTGGTTTTTTTTTTTTGCAGCTCTTTGAAGGCCCCCCCCCGGGAGTGTTTTAGACTAATTGCGCCTGCTGTCGAGCAGCGTGGGCTCCAGACACCCGCTGACACACAACACGCCGCCGCCGTGTGTCTTTTGGCTGGAGATCAGATGAACATCTCTCCTGGCTGGGGCCTCCTGGGCAACCCCTTTCTCACCTGCAGCTCCTTATGTTGTTCAAGACTTATATTTCTATATCCTTTACGTCCAGACCTGGGTTTGAGGGTGAGGAGCAACCTCCAGGGAAGTGCTGCAGCACATCAGGAACGCAGCAAACACCTCCCCTAACCTGTTGTGAAAGTCATCCTGAAGACACCACCCACAGCAGGTTTTTTATCCTCTCAATGCCATGGGATGACACAGTAATATCCATCCTTCTCGGGTGGGATTGCCACCAAGTGGATGCTCTCAAAGAATCTCAGACTGGTCAGGGTCAGAAGGGACCTCTGGAGATCATCCAGTCCAACCCCCTGCCAAAGGAGGGCCACCCAGAGCAGGTCCCACAGGAACGTGGCCAGGTGGGGTTTGAATGTCTCCAGAGAAGGAGACTCCACCACCTCCCTGGGCAGCCTCTGCCAGGGCTCTGCCACCCTCAAAGTCAAGAAGTTCCTCCTCATGTTGAGATGGAACTTCTTATGTTCCAGTTTGTGCCTGTTGCTCCTTGTCCTGTCCCCAGGCACCACTGAGAAGAGTCTGGTCCCATCTTCTTGCCCCCCACCCTTTAGCTATTGCTCAGCATCCATGAGATCCCCTCTCAGGCTGCTCTTCTCCAGCTGAACAGCCCCAGGTCCCTCAGCTGAGAGATGCTCCTGACCCTGAGCATCTTTGTAGCCTCCACTGTCCCCTCTCCAGCAGTTCCCTGTCCTTCTGGAACTGGGGGGCCCAGAACTGGTCCCAGTGCTCCAGCTGGGCCCTCCCCAGGGCAGAGCAGAGGGGCAGGATGACCTCCCTCCACCTGCTGCCCACGGTCTTCTTATGCCCCCCCAGGAGACCATTGGCCTTCTTGGCCACAAGTGCACACTGCTGGCTCATGGGCAACTTGACCTTGGTTGTCCACCAGGACTCCAAGGTCTCCCTCTCTCCAGCAGCTCAACCCAAACCTGTAACAGTCCATGGGGTCATTCCTCCTGAGCTGCAGGACCCTACACTCGTGCTTGATGACTCCAAGGTCTCCCTCTCTCCAGCAGCTCAACCCAAACCTGTAACAGTCCATGGGGTTATTCCTCCTGAGCTGCAGGACCCTACACTTGTGCTTGATCTTCATGAGGTTCCTCTACACCCAGCTCTCGCTGGATGGTGGCACAACCTTCTGGTGTGTCACCCACTCCTCCCAGTTTGGTGCCACCAGCAAACTTGCTGAGATATGGGATAAAAAAGGCACTGTCTGATCTGCTTGGACACTAATATCAGCAGAAGACAACCAAGAAACGGCCAAGCAAGGCCTGTAAAATGGGAGTTCCACCAGAAAGCAACGGATGATGTGGAACTCAAACATCCACCCAAGCTGATGCAGGGACAACAGTCCCCGACTCGTTCAAAAACCCTTCTCAAAATAAGCAACTGAGTGAGGAACGGGCTGCGGGTTCCTCTCCGCTGAGGAGGGAGAAGCTCATTCCTCAAACCAGGAGGGATGGAGACCCCCCAAAACCACCGACCGGTGGGAGGCTGAGCTCCACCGGCGCCTCCGCTCGCCCCCCCAAAATTTGGCTCCTGCCTCTTGTTTGTTTTCCAAGAGAACCCAGGAGGTGCCACCCCGGTAAGGAGAGAAGGTTAAAGGAGGCAGAGAAGTTACCAAACACCAACTGAGAAAACATGAAACGAGAGCCAGGCGTTGGGACGGGGAACAAAAGGTGAGGGCACAGAGGAGGGGGGATCACCCCCTTCGTTAAGAAAAATAATCAGCATCTGCCAGTTATTGCAGATGCAAACTTCCAAGTCCTTAAGAGATCACTGCTGGGTCCCGCTCCGGGAGGAGCAAGTGTCTGGAACGGGGAGCATCGTGCCTTTAAGGCCAGAGTTGCTCAAAATTTTTAAAAGAAAAAAAAAGCCACATTCTAATTAAAAAATTCTTCGTCGCAGCACACGCTCTCCTCTTCCAAGAAAAGTTATTTCAATGCTCTGCCTCAGAATTTAATGAAAGTTGAACCATATCCAGAGGGCTCTTGGAGGAGAGGGATGAAATCCCAATTCCCCAGCCGTTTGCTCCATCTGCAGCTGTGATGAGTTGTCCGTCCTCAGCTCCCAGCGCCAGGCCCAAACCCATCTGTGTGTCTGGATTTCATAGAATCATGGAATGGTTTGGGTTGGAAGGGACCTTGAAGATCATCGAGTTCCAGTCCCTGGGCAGGGACACCTCCCATCAGACCAGGTTGCTCCAAGCCCCCTCCAACCTGCCCTTGAACCCCTCCAGGGATGGGGCAGCCACAGCTTCTCGGGGCAACCTGGGCCAGGCTCTCACCACCCTCACACCAAAGAAGTTCTTCCCCACAGCTCAGCTCAACCTCTACCTTAAAGTTTATTCAGTTCCATCCCTTCTAGTGGCTGGGACATCTTCAAGGAGACCAGGTTGCCCAAAGCCCCCTCCAACCTGCCCTTGAACCCCTCCAGGGATGGGGCAGCCACAGCTTCTCGGGGCAACCTGGGCCAGGCTCTCACCACCCTCACACCAAACAAGTTCTGCCCCACATCTCATCTAAACCTTCACTCTTTTCGTTTAAAACTTGTCCTTGTCCTAGGGCTCCCCTCCCTGATCCAGAGTCCCTCCCCATCTCTCCTGGAGCCCCTGGAGGGACTGGAAGGGGCTCCAAGGTCTCCCCGGAGCCTTCTCTTCTCCAGGCTGAACCCCCCCAACTCTCTCAGCCCCCCCTCCCAGCAGAGGGGCTCCAGCCCTCCCAGCATCTCCCTGGCCTCCACTGGACTTGTTCCGCTTGTCTAATTTTTATCTCATGGAAATGCAGCTCAGGGCTGAGCCCAACTGCTGCACGGGAGGTTTAGGATGGATATTGGGAACAATTTCTTCCCCCAAAGGGTTATCAAGCACTGGAACAGGCTGCCCAGGGATGCGTTGGAGTCTCCATCACTGGAGGTATTTAAAAGCCATGGAGATGTGGTGCTGAGGGCCATGGGTTAGGGGTGGTTTGGGCAGTGTCGGGTTGATGGTTGGACTCAAAGATCTCAAAGGTCCTTCCCAATCTGGACAATTCTATGATTCTATGCATTTGTGAGAAGAATTTTTATCTGGCCACGAGTCACAAGATACACACCACGTGCCTCAAAGAGCTCACAGGAGGAAAGCTCCAGGCACAGCTCAGACAGGGCAACGGCTCCCTGCGGGTTCCTCAGGAAGGGTCCCCCCATGTCACCCCCGGCAGGGTCCCCCCATCAGCTCCTGCAGCCAGGGAGGATGCTCAGAGCAGCTCCCACCACTGCAGAACCAGGACAACCCAAGCTGGAGACCCACCTCAGAGCTTCACACCACCTTCAAAGGACACTAAGCATCTCCAGAGCCAAGGAGCGACCAGGTCTGAGACCTTGATGGTCCCTCTGAAATAGGGACCCGCGACAGAGCAGCTGTTTGTGCTCAAAAAAGCTACTTCTGGTGAATGATATTAGAAGCAGCAGCAACAGCTCCCCCCTGATTTGCATCCCTCAACGGCTCCTTTCTCTCTTTTACCAAAACACAACCAAATCTCCCCAAGAATGGTGCTGAGGAAGCTTTTTTGGGGGAAAAAAGGTCAGAAAAATCAGTCTCAGAAACAAGGTGAGGCCTCCAGGAGGGGCAGAGCTCGCCCAGTTATGGAGATAAAGGTTATTTTAGAACAAACTTCTGCTTTTAATTATTTTTGCATGAATTAGCAGGAACACTTCGAGATAATTACATGGAGTATCCAAACCTGGTAAAGCTGTAACAGGCTGAATAACGGCGCGTTTTAGGCACAAATAGTTCATTATTGGCTGCGTCCGCGTAGCTGGAGCCACCAAAACGGGGCAAAACAGGCTGGATTTGGCAACTTTGGGCATCTGGTAAAGCTGTAACAGGCTGAATAACGGCACGTTTTAGGCACAAATAGTTCACTATTGGCCACAAATGGCACCGAAATGCCATTTGCACAGCAAAACAGGGCAAAACGGGCTGGATTTGGCAACTTTGGGCACCCAACAATGAGCTTTGTCACTCGATGTCACGCAAACCCACCCCCTGCCACGGACATGATGTGCCAACCCTTGGGAAAGGGAGAGTGAAGAGAAGGAAACCAGCACCTGAACCAACCAGCTTCATCACGCCCTCCTCCAGTTTGGCTGCTCATCCCAACTGGAAAATCCCACAGGTTCCTACATCAGCAAAAAAAAACCAAAAAACAACAAACCAAAAAACCACCAACTTGCATGTCTGCACCTGCAGAGCAGCGTTTTCCTGGAGGGGCATGAAGAAAAAAGAGGTTTTGTTTTTTTTTTAGCAGGGGATGGGATTTGAGCGAGGATTCCCAGGCTGTTCCCAGCCTCCCAGAGCTGGTTGGGGGTTTTTTTTGGTGTGGAAAGTGTTAATTTGGCAAATGATGTGATTCAAACTGTACCCAGCTTACACAGCAGGGGTTGGCATGACCTTGGGTCGGTCCCTATTCAACGCTCAGGTTTACTTTTGGTTCTGAAAGAAACCAACAGAGCAACACGAAAGCCTTGGGAGTTGCTCAACGCCCGGAGTTGTGAAAGGGAAAACGTGATGAAGTGACTCCACATTCCCATCGGAGGAGCTGCTGCCACGCCAAGAGCTCTTGGGATCACCTCTACCCCAACAACCTTGGGGTTATCAGCTACGGAGACCACCACCACCATCATCTCAACCACCTCCTGGAGCCACAGGGCTGTAAGAATCTCACCAAAGCAGCTCCTGGAAGAAGGGAGCACACGGCTGAAACCCTCTCTCCTTCCCAAGAGCTGTTGGGATAACCCCGGGGTTGTTGGGGTAGAGGTAATCAGCTATGGAGACCACCACCACCATCATCTCAACCACCTCCTGGAGCCACGGGGCTGTGAGAATCCCACCAAAGCGGCCCCTGGAAGAAGGCAGCGCACGGCTGAAACCCTCTCTCCTTCCCAAGAGCTCTTGGGATCACCTCCACCCCAACAACCCTGGGGCTACCAGCTATGGAGACCACCACCACCATCATCTCAACCACCTCCTGGAGCCACGGGGCTGTGAGAATCCCACCAAAGCAGCTCCTGGAAGAAGGGAGCACACGGCTGAAACCCTCTCTCCTTCCCAAGAGCTGTTGGGATAACCCCGGGGTTGTTGGGGTAGAGGTAATCAGCTATGGAGACCACCACCACCATCATCTCAACCACCTCCTGGAGCCACAGGGCTGTGAGAATTCCACCAAAGCAGCTCCTGGAAGAAGGGAGCACACGGCTGAAACCCTCTCTCCTTCCCAAGAGCTCTCAGGATCACCTCTACCCCAACAACCCTGGGGTTACCAGCTATGGAGACCACCACCACCATCATCTCAACCACCTCCTGGAGCCACAGGGCTGTGAGAATTCCACCAAAGCAGCTCCTGGAAGAAGGGAGCACACGGCTGAAACCCTCTCTCCTTCCCAAGAGCTCTCAGGATCACCTCTACCCCAACAACCCTGGGGTTACCAGCTATGGAGACCACCACCACCATCATCTCAACCACCTCCTGGAGCCACAGGGCTGTGAGAATTCCACCAAAGCAGCTCCTGGAAGAAGGGAGCACACGGCTGAAACCCTCTCTCCTTCCCAAGAGCTCTCAGGATCACCTCTACCCCAACAACCCTGGGGTTACCAGCTATGGAGACCACCACCACCATCATCTCAACCACCTCCTGGAGCCACAGGGCTGTGAGAATTCCACCAAAGCAGCTCCTGGAAGAAGGGAGCACACGGCTGAAACCCTCTCTCCTTCCCAAGAGCTCTCAGGATCACCTCTACCCCAACAACCCTGGGGTTACCAGCTATGGAGACCACCACCACCATCATCTCAACCACCTCCTGGAGCCACAGGGCTGTGAGAATTCCACCAAAGCAGCTCCTGGAAGAAGGGAGCACACGGCTGAAACCCTCTCTCCTTCCCAAGAGCTCTCAGGATCACCTCTACCCCAACAACCCTGGGGTTACCAGCTATGGAGACCACCACCACCATCATCTCAACCACCTCCTGGAGCCACAGGGCTGTGAGAATTCCACCAAAGCAGCTCCTGGAAGAAGGGAGCACACGGCTGAAACCCTCTCTCCTTCCCAAGAGCTCTCAGGATCACCTCTACCCCAACAACCCTGGGGTTACCAGCTATGGAGACCACCACCACCATCATCTCAACCACCTCCTGGAGCCACAGGGCTGTGAGAATTCCACCAAAGCAGCTCCTGGAAGAAGGGAGCACACGGCTGAAACCCTCTCTCCTTCCCAAGAGCTCTCAGGATCACCTCTACCCCAACAACCCTGGGGTTACCAGCTATGGAGACCACCACCACCATCATCTCAACCACCTCCTGGAGCCACAGGGCTGTGAGAATTCCACCAAAGCAGCTCCTGGAAGAAGGGAGCACACGGCTGAAACCCTCTCTCCTTCCCAAGAGCTCTCAGGATCACCTCTACCCCAACAACCCTGGGGTTACCAGCTATGGAGACCACCACCACCATCATCTCAACCACCTCCTGGAGCCACAGGGCTGTGAGAATTCCACCAAAGCAGCTCCTGGAAGAAGGGAGCACACGGCTGAAACCCTCTCTCCTTCCCAAGAGCTCTCAGGATCACCTCTACCCCAACAACCCTGGGGTTACCAGCTATGGAGACCACCACCACCATCATCTCAACCACCTCCTGGAGCCACAGGGCTGTGAGAATTCCACCAAAGCAGCTCCTGGAAGAAGGGAGCACACGGCTGAAACCCTCTCTCCTTCCCAAGAGCTCTCAGGATCACCTCTACCCCAACAACCCTGGGGTTACCAGCTATGGAGACCACCACCACCATCATCTCAACCACCTCCTGGAGCCACAGGGCTGTGAGAATTCCACCAAAGCAGCTCCTGGAAGAAGGGAGCACACGGCTGAAACCCTCTCTCCTTCCCAAGAGCTCTCAGGATCACCTCTACCCCAACAACCCTGGGGTTACCAGCTATGGAGACCACCACCACCATCATCTCAACCACCTCCTGGAGCCACAGGGCTGTGAGAATTCCACCAAAGCAGCTCCTGGAAGAAGGGAGTGCATGGCTGAAACCCTCTCTCCTTCCCAGGAGCTCTTGGGATCACCTCTGTCCCAAAAACCCTGGGGCTACCAGCTATGGAGACCACCACCACCACTACCATCTCAACCACCTCCTGATGCCACGGGGCTGTAAGAATCCCACCAAAGCGGCTCCTGGAAGAAGGGAGAGCACAACTGAAACCCTCTCTCCTTCCCAAGAGCTCTTGGGATCACCTCCACCCCAACAACCCTGGGGCTACCAGCTATGGAGACCACCAACAACATCCCAACCACCTCCTGGAGACACAGGGCTGTGAGAATCCCAGCAAAGCAGCTCCTGGAAGAAGGGAGCACACGGCTGAAACCCTCTCTCCTTCCCAAGAGCTGTTGGGATAACCCCGGGGTTGTTGGGGTAGAGGTAATCAGCTATGGAGACCACCACCACCATCATCTCAACCACCTCCTGGAGCCACGGGGCTGTGAGAATCCCACCAAAGCGGCCCCTGGAAGAAGGCAGCGCACGGCTGAAACCCTCTCTCCTTCCCAAGAGCTCTTGGGATCACCTCTACCCCAACAACCTTGGGGCTACCAGCTATGGAGACCACCACCACCATCATCCCAACCACCTCCTGGTGCCACAGGGCTGTAAGAATCCCACAGAAGCAGCTCCTAGAAGAAGGGAGTGCATGGCTGAAACCCTCTCTCCTTCCCAGGAGCTCTTGGGATCACCTCTGTCCCAAAAACCCTGGGGCTACCAGCTATGGAGACCACCACCACCACTACCATCTCAACCACCTCCTGATGCCACGGGGCTGTAAGAATCCCACCAAAGCGGCTCCTGGAAGAAGGGAGAGCACAACTGAAACCCTCTCTCCTTCCCAAGAGCTCTTGGGATCACCTCCACCCCAACAACCCTGGGGCTACCAGCTATGGAGACCACCAACAACATCCCAACCACCTCCTGGAGACACAGGGCTGTGAGAATCCCAGCAAAGCAGCTCCTGGAAGAAGGGAGCACACGGCTGAAATCCTCTCTCCTTCCCAAGAGCTCTTGGGATCACCTCTACCCCAACAACCCTGGGGTTACCAGCTATGGAGACCACCACCACCATCATCTCAACCACCTCCTGGAGCCATGGGGCTGTAAGAATCCCACCAAAGCAGCTCCTGGAAGAAGGGAGCACACGGCTGAAACCCCCTCTCCTTCCCAAGAGCTCTCGGGATCACCTCTACCCCAACAACCCTGGGGTTACCAGCTATGGAGACCACCACCACCACCATCTCAACCACCTCCTGGAGCCACAGGGCTGTAAGAATCCCACCAAAGCGTCTCCTGGAAGAAGGGAGTGCACGGCTGAAACCCTCTCCTTCCCAAGATCTCTCAGGATCACCTCTACCCCAACAACCCTGGGGTTATCAGCTACGGAGACCACCACCAACAACAACATCCCAACTACCTCCTGGAGCCACGGGGCTGTGAGAATCCCACCAAAGCAGCTCCTGGAAGAGGGTTTCAGCTGTGCGCTCCCTTCTCTCCTTCCCAAGAGCTCTTGGGATCACCTCTACCCCAACAACCCTGGGGTTATCAGCTACGGAGACCACCGCCACCATCATCTCAACCACCTCCTGGAGCCATGGGGCTGTAAGAATCCCACCAAAGCAGCTCCTGGAAGAAGGGAGAGCATGGCTGAAACCCTCTCTCCATCCTCTTCTGCCCAGGATGCTGAGGGAAGAGAAGGGAGGAAGCCAAATGCACCCAAAATCCTCCTGATTTTGGGTCAGTCCAGCTCTGCCAACACCCAGGCGGGGTTAAGAGCCGAGCTGGGAGAGAACAAGCACCCTGGGTACAAACACCAGCTTTTTACTTAACCTACATAATTCCTCCCGGCCCAAAGTAGGGCAGTTATTTTAACAGAGCTGGGGAAGAGCAGAACGGGGCTCCAAACTGACTTGATCTGGAAAGAAATCTCTTTCTCCTCAACTTCCCTGCATCAGCAGGAACCGCCAGAGGCTCGCTCCGGTTACATAAACCACCGCGTGAGCCCTCGCAACCGGTTAACGACACGAGGCACCACGGCTTAATACCATGTTGTGAAAAAAAAAACAACATAGAAATGCTTGCTCAAACAATGAGAAAAAAAAAAACAAAAAACCCAACAAAACAACACCTCCTGAACTTTTCCATCAACTTCTTGAAGCCTCACTCAAAGGCTGTTTGTTCCCGCTGTGGGTATTTATTATTTTCTTTTTTCTTCTGGTAATTAATTGTTCAGCTTTATCTGCAGCTTGAGAGGGTTGGGGAGGAGGGAGGGGAGAGCGTGTTGCAGCATCCCCTTCGACAAATCATAGAATTATCTGGGTTGGAAGGGACCTTTAAGATCATCGAGTCCAACCATCAACCCAACTCTGATAAAACCCATCACTAACCCATGTCTCCAAGCTCTACGTCAACTCAGCTTTGAAGTCCCACCAGGGATGGTGCCTCAACCCCTTCCCTGGGCAGCCCATTCCAAGGCTCAAGAACCTTCTCCGTGGACAAATTGTTCCTCATCTCCAATCTGAACCTCCCCTGGGGCAACTTGAGGCCGTTTCCTCTTGTCCCATGGCCTGTTCCTTGGGAGAAGAGACCGACCCCCTCTGGCTACACCCTCCTTTCAGGGAGTTGGAGAGAGTGAGAAGGTCTCCCCTCAGCCTCCTTTTCTCCAGCCTGAACACCCCCAGCTCCCTCACAAGTTCTCCAGCCCCTTCTCCTTGTTCTCCAGACCCCTCACCAGCTCCGTTGCCCTTCTCTGGACCTGCTCCAGCCCCTCAATGTCTTTTTTGTGGTGAGGGGCCCAAAACTGGACCCAGCCCTCGAGGTGGGGCCTCACCAGTGCTCAGTCCAGAGGGACCATCACCTCCTGAGTCCTCCTCAACAGGCTGTTCCTGATACAGACCAGGATGCTGGTGGCCTTCTTGGCCACCTGGACACACTGCTGGCTCCTGCTCAGCCAAGGGTTGACCAACACCTCCAACAAAACCATGACATTGGAGAGAGATTGCAGGACAAGGCCAGGTACAAACCTGATCTGGGATAGGTTGTTGTGTTGGTGTTCTTTGGGTTTTTTGGGTTTTTTTTTGTTTTTAA